GTTTTGATGCACATGTGAGCACACTTTGCTCATGAGGCATGTGTGCACGAACTCGGTTGAGATTGCATCATTCATCCCTCCTCTTGATTCCATTCACTTCTCCTATAAATACGAACCATATTCCACTCATTTTCGCAAGCTTGGATAGCCATAATCAGCTGCCAAACTCTCTCCATAACTCACAATTCTGAGTTTTTGAATTCACTCTTCCCTTGTTTTTCAATCCAATTTCTTTGCTTATTCTTCATCCTTGAACTTCATTGAAGCTAACAGAAGAAGAGCCAAGCCTTGAGGTGTCCTAAATCATGCTAGTCAAGTAAAGTTTTAGAGCTCTGAAGTTGAGCTTCAACAGGTAGATTCCTCCGTAAATTCTCTCCAAACTTGTTACTACAATGTAGCTCTCATCATTCTGATACTCATAGCATTGTTGGTTTTTAACTGGAAGTGAGTTTTTTTCATGAATTTTCAAATCCCTTTTTATTATTTTTCTTTTGGTTTTTTGAAAATCGACTAAGCTACAATTTATATAAATTTTCGCGAGTGTACCATTGGAATCGTCTTCATGAGACGTAGCAAATGGCCCATGTTTGGGCTTCTAAGTTTACAGTTTGTGGAACCTGCAACTCGCGTGTGGCTTGAGGTTGAAGATGACCAACGTGTCATCTCTCAACCAATGACATCATGCCACCTATTTTTTTCAAATCTGTTTTAAATAATTGATCTGGTGGTTTATTCACTAATGTCAATATCATGCACAGCGCTTTTGATCCTTTAAATTAGCTTACTAACACATTTTGACATTGATCCAATGGTCTATATTATTTTGATATTATTTTTATTTTCTGATTTTTTGATTTAATTATTTTAAACTTCAAATATTTATAAAAAAATCATTTCAACTTCTAAAATTTTGAAAAAATTATCAAAAACACTTTTGATTTTTATTTTTTCACAATTTTATTTTGTGATTTGGTATTTTTATGATTTTTCACTTTATTTGACTTGTTTAAATTGTTTAAAAATAATTTTCTTGATTTTTAAATTCTGAAAAAAATTATGGAAGGATCCAATGACCTCTTGATAAATATTGGTGACCTCATTTTATTTTTATTTTTTATTTTACTATTTTTCACAAATTTTGGTTTATTTTGCTTATTTCTTTAAATTTTAAAAACAGTTTCTAACTTTAAAAAATTCTAAAAAATTTTGTCAACACTTGTTGACTCACGTTTGACTTCTGATATTTTTCTAGGATTTTTATTTGGTGCTTTAATACATGTTATGTATCTTACCAATCATTTCCTTTTTTAAATCATTTAAATTTTGTTTTATATTAAATATATTTTGTTTTTTTATTGGTCTTGATTTGGAGACACTTTTGAGTGTTTTTTGGGACAAGTTCGTCAACTTCATTGGATCTTGGATGTTGATAGGTTGAAAAACCAAATCCACTAAAATGGATGAATGATGTTGATGATATTTGAAATCCTAGTTTCATCTGATACATCACATCCCTCTTCATCTTATCCCTTTCTTGTTGTGCTACATGTTTTTGGAAAATGATCTACATATCATTTCTCTAATATGTTGGTAAATAAGTTGCTATTGACCAACCTCAAAATAGGTGTGGCTTCCACATAAGTCCACTTATGATTACTTAACATATCGTTAAATTTGTCCTGATTCGAAAAATGTTCATTCGTGGCCCAAACCTATGTTTGCAAGTCCAAATATGTTTAATTTGAAACCTTGGATCGAATAATTTTGAAGTTCATTGTTAGGAGACTTTGATTCTATCAATCCTCTAATAAACTTCATGAATTTTGGTCTAAGTGAATCATTTGAAAATCGTTGATCATATGTGGTTGTCTTGAGTACTTGAAATGAATAATATACTTGACAAAAAGCAAATGAGACTTGTTGTTGAGAAGCTTTGATTTTATCAATGTTCTAATGAGTTTTCAAATGCAAGCTTTAAGATGGTCATTTAACTAACCTTCTAACTTCTAATTCACTAACAATTAACTTTACTTTATGCCTTTATTTTTATGTATCATTTATTTTAGTATTTACATCTCATGCTATTTTCCTTTTGTTCACTTGAGTATTTATCTTTATGTCATTTTATCTTTGCTCATTTGAGGTTTTATTTTCTTTTGAAAACACTTAATAATCAACTTAAACAATAAAAAACTTTAAGGTTACTTGTACTATTTGGTTCCTATCCTTGGCATTTTAGAGTTGTGGATCTCTCAGACTTAGGATTAGAAGGCTTGATACTTGGGACCTTGTGGCTCTGTTGTTACTTTTTCTGTTCTTAAGGTTTACTGTAAGGCATTGGGTTGATTTTCTTTGTGTGCAGGTTATTCTTATTATATGCTTTGTCTGTGATTGAGAATTCCTCTGTATACAACCATTACTCTGTCCAATTTTTGTGAATACTTAATTCATCTGAAGCTTGGTATTCCTTAGAGGTTTAGTATTTTTTGCTTGCTTGTTAATTCATGTGAAGACTTTTACATTGACTTCGTATGTCAAGTATTGGCTTCTTATTGGTTAGATAGTTCTTTTCCTTAGCTTTTACCTTATGATTTAAGGTAGTCCCTTCATCTCCTCCTATCTTCTTTATTTCAAAAATCTTCTCCTTCCTTTTCAAAACTCTTCTTGTTTTCTAACTTGAACCACTTTCATAATAAACTTGGACTTAGGTCCATGCATTTTAAAAAATCTTTTCTTTATCAAAATTTAATCAACTTAATCGTGCTTTGACATATTTTTGAAATACTAAAAATCATTAACCTCATTCTAACCATTTTTCCACTTTGGCTTTTTACTTTAAATTTTTTCTCAAAATATTAGACTCTTTCCGATTCTTGTAGTGATGCGAGCTACTATACTTCTATGATATGTAGTAAAGTGAGATATTTTCCACTTGGGTGTTGAGTGAGGCTTTTTTGATTTTAAAATCCAAGCTATATCCTCCACCATCTGATTTTCTATACACCTTTTATATCCAAAATACACAGATTTTTAAAGAGGTTCTTGTGGAGTACCGTAGATGTTTAGGGTTCTAATACCTTCCCTTTGCATAACGAACCCCCGTACCTAGATTCTCCCCCCTTTTTTGGGTTTATTCACTTTTTTCCCATTTCCTTTGGAAATAATAAAGCGCAATGGTTATTTTTATTTGATATGTACGAGTTAAGTCAATCCAATGGCTTAGTCTCAACATTTCTACCGCTACACCAGTGACCACGTGTTGTGCATCAGGTTGTAGACGGAGGGAGTATTTAAGCCAAATCTATTCACATTTTTTCATCTTTCGTTTCTTCTCCTCTCTCTCTATCTCTAACCAAAACACTTCCTTCTCTCAATACAAAGCTCTAACCTCTCTCTAAAAACATGGCCCACTGGAAATCACCCCGCCGGCAACCCCACCCTTTCTCTGCCGTGTTTTTTCAATTTCCAATTGAGTTTTAATCGTGAAATTCATAGGAATACCCAAAAACACATGAACCCTAGGAACATCCTTTAGAACCCTAGGTAAACCCTAGAACTCTTGGAGAAACCACCGTGAGCAGCCGTCAAGGTCGTCGTTGATGATGAAGGTTCATCGGGAACATCATCCTCTTTTCCTAAAACCCCATGAACCCTAATCCAACCCTTGGAACCCTAACCTTATGTACGGAGAACCCTAACCCCAATGAACCCTAAACCTAACCCTAAAACCTAATTTTTTTTCTTCAGAAATCCAAAATTATACCTAAATTATCACATATACAAGCATTAATCGCAACAACAACAATCAATGACCCTGAGCTAAGTTTTGGGCTTACCATCCACAAGGTGATTCGTCTCGTAATATCCTTCCAATTCTTCTCTGATTTCTCCCCTCTAACCTCTCCACTATCTTTGTTCGTAGGTGCAAAGTCCGAAGGATTCATAACAAGGAGACAAGGGTTTCAAATCTTCTTAAATTTCTTCTTCAAATTTTTCGGTCCTCATCTCTGTTTAGGTCTAGGGTTTATATAGTTTTTAGGAATAGGTCAATTAGGAAATTACTTAAGTTGATATATTATTACAAATTAGATTGGAATTAGATTAATCTGTAATTGATTTGATTTTTAAATTGATTTAGATTTAGTTAGAAAATAGATTTTTAGGGTTTGAATTTGTAATGTATCTGGACTGATTCTACGTATAAATTTTTTCAATCAATAAAATCAATTTTCAATCAAAGATTTGATATGATTCAGTGTAGAAATCTTGAATTTGGGCTTTGTTGTTAGCTTAGGGTTGAAGATAACCCAAATTTGGGCGCAACAATGTGTACAAAGGATTCGAAACCCTAATTTTCGACCTTAGTCAACAATTCAATAAAAAATATAACAAATAACAAATTAATTATTTAAAACAATATATTTTAAAACAATGTTGACCTTCAGGTCAACTTGAGGAAAATAACATTGATTATATATATATATATATATATATATATATATATATATATATATATATATATATATATATATATATATATATATATATATATATATATATATATATATATATATATATATATATATATATATATATATATATATATAATATCAAACAAAACAATAATAACAATAGAAAAATACAAAAATAAATAATTAGTGTCACGCAGACTCTGGTCAACTAAACAAAAAATGATAAAATAATTAACAATACATTTATATTTTATTTAAAGCTAAATTCAACACGGGCCTTTTTAAAAAGATATAATGGGCCATCTAATTAATTTGAATGATGAGCCCAATTTAAAAAAAAAAAGTGACAGTAATTTTATAAATAAAACCAAATTGATTTCCCCTATATTTAAACTAAAATATAAATGAATGTTAGTAATCATGAGAACAATATAATTTAAACAATGAGAGTAAGCAACAGTGTAAAACGACCCAATAGCCTTACTAAAAAAAATTGATTGTTAGCACCAATGCGGGCAAATTTGAGGTATGACAATTTTTAATGAAAAACATGTTAGTGAACATGTAATTGATACTTTCATTGATGGTATTCTTAATGATTATCATGAAGGTACAACAGATTCGTATGATGAAGAGCTTGTGGCTAGTCAGGTTGAAGATGTGAATGATGTTGTCAACAAAGATGTTGATATTCCTAATCTAAAGAAAGAAAAATCTAAAGATTCAAACCCCGCTACTAATTTAGACTATGATAATAAAGAACCTGATGATAATGGAGATCAGGTTGAGGTAGAAAATAAAAATGATAATGAGGTCCCAAGAGAGGACGAAGTTCAAAAATATGTGGAGGATGAAACCCAGGAAACTAGCATGGAAGAACAAAATATGGTGAATGATGTGCATTACAATTAGTCTAACATTTTGGAGACAGCGTCACCAATGGATGAAGAAAAGGAAAATATTTCCTCTGAGAACAATGTTGATCAAGATGATGCTAATATTGTTACCAACCTTGAAGATTACGCTAGTAAGTCTGTCAGTGAAAACATGGATTAAGATACTGAGAATATTTCTGTAGAGGTCCCTAGTTCCCCTGCTAATAATAAAAATAAGAAGTCTGAGAAGTGAAGTAAAAAAGAAGGCCAACAAGAAGAAAGATACCCTCAAACTCAAGAATACCCCAACCAAAAGGGTAGCTACTCCAAAATCTAAGAAGAAGGGTGTATCAAGTAAAAATAATAAGGATGTCGCTAGCTCTAATAAGCCTGCAGTTAAGAAGAAGTCCATCCATAAGAGGAAGGTTTACCTTGTGGTCGAGATTTCTAAAGAAGATGTGGAGGACATAATGATTCTTCTTGTGAAGAAAAATAGGAAGAAAATGGGAAGAAAGAGATCCCTTCTAATTTCCCTCTTGATCTAATGGAAAAGGTTTCTTTCCATTCTAAGGAGAGTGTTTTAAAATGGAAGTGTGTTTATCATAGGAAAATTTCTCCTGAAAGGGAAATTTATGAAGAGGAACTAAAGTGTGAAGAGATTAATGAGTTGTTGCAAAATGCTCAGGTGATAAAGATTGTCTCAAGTCTAAGTCTTTTCTATCCTCAATTGATGAAAGAATTCATTGTGAATATCTCTAAGGATTACAATAAAGCTGGCAGTAAATATTACAAGAAAGTTCAGGTTTGTGGTTGCTGCATTGGGTCATGGAAAACTGATAATTGCTAATAAGGTACCCAATATGAAGATAATTGCAAATCAGATTACTAGAGGAACATGTGAACACTGGATGTACAAAGGAAGGATCCCTTCTACTAATATAGGTTTGAAGTATGCCATCCTCAATAGGATTTGAGTGGCAAACTGAGCTCTAACCAACCACAACTCATGTATCACAACTTCTTTGGCTAAACTTATATATTAAATAAGCATTAGGAGTGCTTTTGAATTTGGGAGAGTATGTTTTTGAACAAGTCCTTTGATTATACTCTGTCGTTGCATATACTTGTTTGAAGAATCAGAGAAAAACAAGTCAAATATGAGAAAATTTGAGGAATAATGGCCAAAAAGCGATGCAAAAATGATCAAGTATGAAGAAATAGGGACTTAGAGAAATTTGGTTGAAAAGGGAGAAAAAGCAAGAAAGTTACTGGAATAATCCTGCTGGCCATCGCATGCGATATAGAGCTAGAAAAGTTGCATCGCGCGCAATTTTATCCATGACATGCGCGATGGTCCCCTTTTCTGGCCAAATTCTAAAGCATTCTGATTGTTTTCTATGGCTTTAAAAGGGGAGTTTTTGCAACTTTTCAAGGGTTTTGTGATTTTTAACTACAAGTGATGAAATATAGTAATAGAAGTGGGATTTGGAGAGCATCATAAGCCATTGGACTAGTATAATTTGCTAAACACTCATAGGTTAGGTTTTGTCTGATGAACTTATTTTGAACCTGTTGGGATATATGTCTAATTTGGTATTGCATGACTAATCTTAGTTTTATTTCTATTTAATTGCATCTTTTGCTTAATGCGCATTATTTTAAGTACTCTATAAATGTGATCATGGACGTATAGGGAATACTAACCCTTAACCTATATGTCTAAACTAGGGAAATTATTGTACTTGTCTCGGTTGAATAGGGATAGGAGACCTCTAGTAGTGGAATAAGAATTAACGCATTGTATCATCGCTTGATTTCACTTATGTTGGTTGAATAGGGATAGGAGACCTCTAGTAGAAATTAGTGAGTTATACACCAAGGAATTGGGTATAGCGGTTTTGTTAATTCGGTGTGGAAATATAAAAATGTTTCATTCATGTAATGCATTAGACATTAACAAGGGAGAAATAAGAGATTTTAGGCAAAATCTGACCGCTTTCTCATAATTGTCAGAACAAATTTTATTTTCTCTCAAGAAAACTCGAAACCCCCCACCCCCAATTATTAATTTCTAAATATTGCACAATATTTGTCTGATTAAATAGTAGTCCATGTGGATACGATCTTATTTATTACTTTGACACTATCGGTACACTTGTCGAGAAGTCATCAAGTTTTTGGTGTCATTGTCGGGGACTTTTGATAATTTCAACAAGGCCAGGCTTGTGCAATGTTTTCGTTTAGGTTTTCTTATTTTAATTTTTGTTTTGTTATTTCTAGTTTTTATTTTAACTTTTGTTTCACATTACTACTAAGGTATTTTGTTTGTGTATGCGCAGTTTAGGATTAGAGTTGATATCCTTTGATCCAGAAATTGAAAGAACCATGTGGAAAAATAGGAAAACCATTATAGAAGCCACTCTAGCATATGAGACTTTAGTTGAGGATAATTTAATTGTTTCTTTGGATAGAGAAAATGACAAAGAGACAACCATCGCAAATGTACCACCACCTCAAACGATGGGGGACTACTGCAAGCAAACTAATGTAGGGCAGATTTCTAGGGGTTTTGTACCTGCTAACTTTGATATTAATAATTATGTGCTTTCAGGTTTAAGGGACATCCCTTTTGATGGAAGTGCAATTCAGTTCTATGAAACAACTTCAATGTGCAGACCATCTGATATTACTCAGGATCAGGTGAAGCGGAGGTTGTTCAATTTTCCCTTAATTGGAATAGCCGAGGATTAGTTACTATGTCTTCCTAACGGTACCAAGCAACATGGAAAGAATTAGAGGACTAAGGATCCAGGCACGTATGCTTTTGGATGCTTCTTTGGGAGGCACAATCAGGACTATGACTGAAGATCAGGTAAAAGATTTGATTGAAAAAATGTGCTTGAACAAATATCGTTCAAAGAGTGAAAGAGCGGTAAAGACCGAAAGTGCTGGTACACCAAAAGGTGTGTTAACCGTATATGCTCATACAACATTATTAGCTCAAATTGAATTATTGAATAAAAAACTAGCTAAAAGCAACTTGAATCAAGCTAATGTGAGTCAAGTACAAGCACTAAAGTGTGATTTCTACAGATAAGGATATGCAAACAAAATGTGTTCTACAAAAGGATCAAGTGAAGAAGAACAATTTGAAAATTTTTAGAAGCATAATCCATATTCTAACACTTACAATCCAAGTTGGAAAGATCTTCCAAACTTCAAGTGGAGCAATAATCAAACATCAAATGCAAATCATGGTGCTCAACAGACTCAACAACCTCCATTTTAGAGAAAACGGTCACCTCTTGAAGAGACTATAAACAAGTTCATTCAAGCAAATCAAATCAGTTTTGAAATGGTTAGAAAACATCATGAAACCATGAGTAAAAATCATGATGCATCCATAAAAAACTGGAGATGCAAATAGGTCAACTATTCCGACAAGTAGCTACTTTTCCTAGTTCTAGTAGAGAATTTATTGGTAACACAATTGATAATCCTAAGAATCAAACTTGTAAACCTTTAAAGTTGGGGTTTGAAGTGAACATCAATGTGAAAGAGGACGACATAGTGGAAGAGGTAGAAGTAGGGAACGAGAAAGAGGTGAGTGAAAACACTAGGGACTACTTTAAGAGATGGGTCACAATTAATAAATTTATAGATAAAAACTCACCCTTGAGAAGGACTAAGAAATAGATTCTAAATGACCTTAGTCCCGAGCTACCTTACTATGTCAAGCCACCTTATCCAATCCTCAAGAAGAAACCAAAGGAGGAAAATGGAACAAGGCTATTTAAAAAGCTTAGGGAGATGCTTGCTAAGCTTCATGTAAGTATTTATTTGAATGGAATTTTATAACTAATGCCTAAATATGATAAGTTTATGAAGGAGTTTCTATATGGTAAAAAGAAGGTGAGTAGGTGGATGTAGCAGACAAATGAAATTCCATATTGCACAATAATATTCCACCTAAGCTGAAGGATTTAGGTAAGTTCACTATCCCTTGTAATATCAGGGTTAAGTTTCCACCTGCTTTATGTAATTTAGGGTCGAGCATCAATCTGATGCTTCTGAAAATAAATAAGGTATTAAACTTAGGATATTTAAAAGCTACTAATATGACTCTCAGCTTAGCTGATTTTTTTGTTACTCACCCCTATGGTATTTTCGAATACATTTTGGTATGTATCGACGTTCTAGTTTCTTTTGTAGATTTTATAGTGGTGGACATGAAATGAGACACTGAGAATTCTCTAATTATCGGAAGGCCATTCTTGGCAAATGGTAAGGCACTGATTGATGTGGAATCAGGCGAGCTCATGTTACAGTTTAATAATGAGCATGTCATTTTTAATGTGTTTGAATGGATACAATATGAAAATAAGTTGGATGCATGTTACCAAATTGAAGTTATAGACGATAAACAAGATAAAGGAATGACCAGAGGAAGTGTGTATGGTGTGAGGGAATCCCTTGTTCTTTACATACATTAGGCATTACCCATCAAGCTAATGACGATAAATAAGAGATTGATGGGAGGCAACACATTGATAAGTTTATTTTAGCAAAATTTACAATTTCATGTTATTTGAATTAATCATATTATTTATTATAGTTATCAAGGGAAAAGTGAATATAGTAAAGCAAATAAAGATTAGAAGTTAAAAGTTGGAGAAGAAAAGAAGGAAAACAGAAAAGTTTCTGGAAAAATCACGTAGGGAATAACATGTGTGATAGACCTGCATCGCGCGAGCGATGGAAGGTATCACACTCGTGATATTAAAGTTGTAGAAAATATATATTGGAGATGGTCATTGGATCTATTCGTTGATGTATTCTGTTAGCATCACATGCGCGATGCAACTTAACACATGTGCAATGGCTTGTTTATTTTCCTATAAAAGGAAATTTGCAGGTCAGTTTTCCTCACACCACCTCTTCCACTCTTCTTGAGCATGAATTTTCTTCTCTGAGTAATATTTTTTGTCTATTTTTCTTGCAATTTTTGTTCTTGTATTGTTATAGTACATATGGCTCCTAAGAGAAGCAATGTTCTAATGGGTTCCACTTACAAACCTCAACCTACACCAAGTGCTCCATCTTTCCTCAACCTCCAATTTCTATTCGAAGCCAGTGGTGAGAAATATCTCAAGTTTGTGGACTATCACATTGTGAGGGAAAGGGAATTTGATTATGATGACTTGGTTGGTTTTGAAGAAGTCCTATAAATGCTACAACAAAGACAATGGGTAAGATTTAACAATTTAATTCAAGAAACAAACAAATCCATTAGTTGGAGTTTTATGCAAACACTGCTTTTCAAAGTTCCACCTCTTATACGTCATATGTGTGAGGTAACTACATTGACTACTCTCATACTGCTATTAATAGAGTTCTTATTCTCAAACCTTTAGAGTCTTGTGCAATTAGAGCCAAAATGGATGAGCACGGTATTATGCATGAACCCATGGATCAATATATATTTGATGCTCTTTGTAGGCCTAGGATGGAATGGGTAATTGAATGTAATCTTAGGTTGCGGCTT